ATTAAACTACACAGAAGAACAAAAAACAAGTAAGACATGGACTCGTGTATATATATATATATATATATATATATATATATATATATATATATATATATATATATATATATATATATATATATATATATATATATATATATATACAAATGGATCCGAAAAAAAAAAAAACACTCAATAGAAAATAGAGGTGGGGGAATTGTCTTGAATTGGAAAAATGGATCGAAAAAAAATGGAGTCGATAGCAGCTGGAAATTGTCAAGTAATTTTAGGGCAGAAGCAGAGACCGTGAGAACTGCAGCAGAAATTATTATGTCAAAAAAAAAAAAAAAATTGAAAAAAATAAAGAGAGACCTGTCGCTATCCTCACAGATGCGAAGTCAGTTGTCACAGCACTGAGGAGCAAAACCAATACAGAACTAGTAGACCTCAGAGCTGCAATTCATAGAGTGAGTCAGAAATAACAAAAAAGAGTCGTAGTACAATGAATTCCATCCCATTGCAACATACCTGGAAATGAAAAGGCTGACACAGTGACAAAGGAAGGTGGAAGACTACCACAGCCTGATATAGACATAACAAAAGATGAAGCCAAGATGATTATAAGAAGTACATATAGTACCAAATAGGATTATGAACATCCAGGCTACAAGAAGGATAATGCATGATATCAGCCTGGTCGAATAGAACAAGTAGTGAACTCTAGAATCCCCACAGGTCAAAATAGGCCGAATCATCATTGTCAAGAGGACCTATACGGGCTATGTGAGGCCAACACTAGAATATGGAATAGCTGCTTGGGGCACAGCAGCTAAATCAAATTTTCAGAAAGTCTTAAAGATCCAAAACCATGCTCTTGGTATTATGACTGGGGGAATGCGCTCCATGCCCATATCAAACATTGAAATAATTACTGGTCTAAATGATCTGGAAGACAGGGGAGACACACAGCTCCTCGCCCATCTCTCCAAATGTAACCACTTTAAAGAACAACCCATGCACAGTCGACTGCAGAAACCCCAGTCAGAACCACTGAAACGGGGATCTCCTCCAAATCATCAATGAGCAGCACTGATATGAAATCAACTATAGAAAAAGAGATTAACAGACTGTATCCACGCAAGAGTTGGATTCGTGTGTATACAGATGGTTCAGCCAAGAGAGCAGTAAGAGACGGAGGAGGAGGGTTATACATAGAATGCCCAAATGGTTTAAAAATCAACCAGGCTGTACCAGCAGGTTTATATTCCTCTAATCACTAGCAGAGACAGAAGCACTTCTGGCGGCATGATCTTTCCTGAATGGACAACAGCACAGCAAATATAGCAGAGTGGTCTTTCTGACTGATGCTGTGTCAGATCTTCAAGCAATTGTTAACCCAAAAGACACTCAGTTTGTAGACTTGACGCAACAGTTGATTCACCTGGGCTCTTCAGTAGGAAAATCTGTACTGCAGTGGATTCCAGGTCACTGTGGCTTGGAAGGCAATGAAATAGCGGACAGATTGGCCAGAAGCGGCAATGACATGGTACAACCAAATAGCTACTTGATCCACCAAGAGACAAAAACATTAATACAATCTAGTATCCAAAAAGGTGGCTGGATACACACACCAGATTTTCTCCCTAAGACTCGCTTCATCGCCTCTCTAGAGAGGGACAGTGTATTATATTCAGACTAAAGACTGGGCACAACAGACTTCGTCAACATATGTTCACATTTTTTGGTGTAGGAAATACGGAGACGTGTCCCTGCAGCGTGGCACCCGAAAATGCTGAACATGTGCTCCAACACTGTCAACTGTATGCTGACAACAGAGACGCAATCTGGCCTGTTCCAACCACAATGAAGACAAAGATGTATGGTACACGAGAGGATATGGACTGCACGATAGCTTTCATAAAGGCTTCCGGCCTCCTGATATAAGTTTTTTGACAGAAGGATCACAGTAGAAGAAGCAGACTTGGTCAATAAACTAAATAAAGAAGACACTGATAACTGTAACTGTGGAAAGGGTAACTGACGGCTAAACACTTGCTGCAGGGGGGTCCAACATATGCAGAACAGAGAAAATTATTCTGGCCGACACCCACTAGTTTTTAGAAAACCTCTGTGGGGATGTCAAAATCCTCAAGCTGACTGTTGGTTCTTTTGGCAATAGACATATTCCTCTCTGAAAATCAAAGCAGTGTTTTCTCGTTGTGAATTTAACAAAGAAGACACAAACAATAGACTGCACAATTTTATTCTGGTTTCAACCGGCAGATCGCTGACGCTTCCGCATATCGGAGTAATCTACGGTTGACCGAATTGTAAATAACTTGAAATGCATCATCCTTGTTACGATGTGCCCGGAATTTAGAATATGGGACGCAATTGCTGATGATGGATTCTGTCGACCAGTCACCTGATTCGTTGTTGTTTGGGTGTTAGGGTTCTGCATTGCTTCACCACCCATAGTGGAATATGTTCAGCACCCCGTTTCTCCAGTCGTCGATCAGTTCTGCCCACTTATGCAGCGTTACATGTGCACTTAAATTGGTAAATACAATTAGATCTGGCGTACGTCGACACTGGTTCTTTTACTAGTGGCGTTGGAATCAGGCTGGTTTTAAATCTCATAACAGGCGTATATCTCGTAAAAGGTTTGACCGACTGCTGTTTTGAGTCGGTCATATACACGTTGCATGACATCATCTCCCTGAAACATTAGATGTATATAAACTTTTTTCTTTAGGCACCGACATTTCTAAGGTAATTGGTTTGGTCGGCTGGCAATGGCGCTTAAAAAAACCACCTGGATATCCATTAAAAAGCAGTGTTTGTTTAATCGTTTCAAACTCATTTTGTAGCGTGTCGCTGGAATAAATCTTTCTAGTTAAGTGGAATAATGTCCTCACTAGACCACGTTTGTATTGCATAGATGCAAAACTGTTTAAATAGATGTACTTGTCTTTCCAAGTGTCTTTATAATAAACTGACCTTTCAATAGTATCATCATTAAAATGTCCAAAAAGGCCAAGGCGTTGCTAAATTCATGTTGCAGGGACACTGTGATGTTTTTGTGCATTAAGTTCATTTGAGTGTGAAATGACTCTGCCTGTTGTTTGTTTGTGGCGATGATGAGTATGTCATCCACGCAACGTCGGTAAAATACGAAACTGTCAATATCAATGGACATCTGTTCCTCCAGGTGTGCCATAAAGATGTCCGCTAGAATAGAGCCTAGAGGGATTCCCATGGCCACACCGTCAGTCTGGCGGTAAGACTGCCTAAGAAAACTGAAGTTGATGTTAGAAGTGCACAACAGTAAAAGTTCTTCAAGTTTTGAAATAGGTAAACCAACTTGCACATTTTTATTGTCGATACAGTCACAAATAATTTTCGCAGTTTTTTCTAAGAGAACGTTTGTAAATAGTGATGCTACATCCATTGGTGCCATGTACTTTTGATTTAAATTCATTATTGTCTAGTAATTCTGCCAGTTCAAATGAATCTCAAAGTGTTTTGGGCTCAAATGATTTCGTACTGGTTTTAGTAGTTCCGTAAGCTATTTAGCCAAACCATGTTGAACCGAGTTTATCATCGACATGATAGGCGTAAGGGGCATGTCAGGTTTGTGTCCTTTTGAAAGACCATATAACTGCGGTATTTGTGAGCCACACGATGTGAGCATCTTAGCGGTAGCTTCGCTGATAAAATTTCCTCCCGAGAGAGATTTAATGACTTTCTTCATTTTCTCTTCCATGATATTAACGTTATTTACTTTGAAATCCGGCAGAAATTTTGATTGATCGAATAATATTTCCTCCATTTTGGTCTGATAGTTTGACTATCAAAACTACACCATTTCCTTTGTCTGGTTTGAATATTATCAATTGTTCGTTGGCTTTTAATGTTTTCATAGCAGTAATATGCTTTTTAGATAATGGACACTTTTGCTTAGACTGGCATGAGCGTGATTGATGGGTGGTAAAAGCAATGCAGAACACTAACACCTCAACAACAACGAATCAGGTGACTGATCGACAAAATCCATCATCAGCAATTGCGTGCCATATTCTAAATTCCGGGCACATGGTTAACAAGGATGATGCATTTCAAATTATTTACAATTCGGCCAACCGTAGATTACTTCGATATGCCGAAGCGTCAGCGATCTGCCGGTTGAAACCAAACTCTGTAGGCAGAAAGAAATGGTCGACAGCGAAATATGCCAGGCAATAAGTTGAGCAGTCCTTTGTTTGTGTCTTGTTTGTTTATATTCTTTTCTATACAGAATTCGGTCAGTCTCTCCCCACTCTCGTTTCTGTTTCCTACGCGGAATGGGCCTCTGACTATTTCTCTTCCTCTATTCTACCTCCACCAAATTTTACATTGAAATCCACCATGATGATTATGATATTTCTTTTTGCTTCCCTATCTAACGTGTCTTTCAAACTGCTATAAAAAAATTTGAATTTCATCTTCCTCTGATGCAGATGCTGGGGCATAGACTTGAATAATTGTGATGTTCCTTTTCCTTGACTTGAGTGTGACAGTTAGAATTCCGTCGCTGATCGGATTATATCCAAGAAGTGATGACAAAACTTTTCTTGTCATTAGAAAACCCACCCTGCTCAAACCACTCTTTTCTTTTCCTTTCCTAAATATAAAAACAAAATAGTCTCCCCTGACTAATTTTTCAGGGGATACAATTATACATTTATAATATATTAGAATTATTTTAAAGCTGCTTCACAAATATCTAACATTTTAAACATATTTTTATGCAGTAATATAAAAATAAGCGTTACCTGACAAATATGTGTAAAAAAGATTTAAACAAGTGTTAAATTAAAAAAAAATATTTAAAAATTATTTGAGGAAAAGATAATTTTATTGACTATTATCAGTGCGTATAGTTGCCGAGTTGGAATATTTTTGGATGTAAAATTAATTGACTTTGAAGGAAAACCCTAATTACGCTTAATAAAAGCGCTTTATTTCCGACACGCTGACAGCCATGCCTGTGCAAAAAGCAGTGAAACGAGTGGGTAAACCCCAAGGCAAAGGTGGCAAGAAAAAGAAAACCACCCTGAAGTACACAGTGGACTGTACTCACCCCGTGGAGGATGGAATCATGGACGCTGCAAACTTTGAGAAGTATCTGAAAGAGCGTATCAAGGTTGACGGCAAGACTGGCAACTTTGGAAATAATGTCTCCTTGGAATTGCAGAAAAACAAAATCAACCTGACTAGTGAGGTTCCCTTCTCAAAGAGGTATCTCAAGTATTTGACAAAGAAGTACTTGAAAAAGAACAACCTCCGTGACTGGCTGAGAGTTGTAGCATCCTCTAAGGAAGCTTTTGAGCTCCGCTACTTCCAGATTAACCAAGACGAGGAAGAGGAGGAGGAAGATTAAATACTTGTCAATAAATTCAGTTTATAAAACTGTTCTGCTATAAATAAAAAAAAAAAAAAAAAAAAAAAAAAAAAAAAAAAAAAAAAAAAAAAAATATTTGAGCGGTCTATTGAAGGCTGTACATTGCTAATTGAAATTTAAGGTTGAATGGTGTGAAGGAGGAATCAATTAAAGTAATGTGGAGTTGGATAATGATAGTAGCGACGTGAAATTTCCCCAAACCGTTGACGAGTCAAGTTTTGATGTATCGTATCGTATCGTATTAAAAGAAACAAAAATTCCAAACTTAGTCCTTTTTTAACTGCCTGATGGCCTGTTTTCTCAAGGACGGTTCCTTTGCTGTCTTATTTATTTATATTCCTTGTGGTGAGCACTTTCACCTGAGTTTGTTCATTTGTTGCCTAAGTTCTGGTTCTGAGGGGCCTGGTTCCTGTTTAATTGGCTATTCGCTAGCTTTTGCACTGTTCATCTGTGTTAGCACCAAGTCAGTTCGAAGTCACACCGCCACGAAACAAACAGTTCCGCATACTGAGCGCCCTAAAACACGGCCCCCACAGGACGACTGTCACAATCTTGTTGTTGTGTGCAGCCGTTAGATAAGTAGAGGAGGTAACAAAGGTTGCAAAAAAATTAGAACGCCCGAAGGTGCAAAGATATTGTATAGCTAGATCGGAAGATGGAGAGAGACAGATAGCTTGCTAGGTTGAGGAAGAGGTCCTTGGTGGGTTGAGTCCTGCACACTGCCTGCTCTGCCTGGGTGGATCTGAAAAAATAGACTGATTTACATTTTAGATACATAGGGGAAGGGACGGGTGAAGTTATCAGAGTAGCGTAGTAGCCTGGAATTCCACAAGTGCTGGTCCCCTTATTGTGCAATGCCCTTTTAGCTGGTTTGCCTCAGAGCGTCGGGTGGCCTTTGGTGGGTTTCCTCGGTTTTTAGCTGAAAATGAGTTTATTAATATTGAAACATATGTGGGAGGGGCGGGGAGTTTACAAAATGAAATGCATAACAGACTGAAATCCACGAGTGCTGGTCCCCTTCTTGTGCTATGCCCTTTAGCTGGTTTGCCTCGGAGCGTCGGGTGGCCTTTGGTGGGTTCGGTCGTATTATTCTTTCTGAAAATATACTATGAGAGATTATGTTAGTTGAATTTTTTAGTCTGGTTGATTCGCCTGTGGTGGAGAAGGAGTGGAGGTGGTACAGGCTGAGGGGCAGGAATGCCTTTGAGAGGACATACAGTGAGGTCGGAAGAGTGAGTGAGAGGTAAAGTTGCCTCTGTTGTGGGTGCTGGTACTCGCTGGATCTGGTCACATCTTGATGGGGGTGGCTCTCAGATCGCTTTCCCGGTTCTGGATATGAACTGCTTCACAAGTCGCTGGATCTTGTCGTCACAGCTCACACTGAGGCAGTTTTCAGTTGTCATAGGTTGGTTTGAGGCTCTGAAGTGCAGCACGAGCTCTTGTCTCTCTATTTCGTGGTGTTTACAGTTTAGTAAGAAGTGCTCCATGGAGTTGGGGGCCCTGCATTCCTCGCACACAGGAGTGCGGAATCGGTCTGGCCAACACCCTAGTCGCATCTTCCACAGTTTTCGGATGGCCGGAATTTTGGTCGGTTTAGTCACTTGATTCTTGAGACTGGGTTTGTTGAGTAGTTTGTAGGCAGCTCTGCCTTTGTCGCTGGTCGACCACTGTTGGGACCATTCTCTGCATATTCTGCTTTTGATAATCGCTTTTAGTTCAGTTTTGCCCAGTCCCGCGAATATTGTGTTGTGGCTAACCGTGCCTCTCTTCGCCGCTCTGTCTGCTGCTTCATTGCCCTCAATGCCTATGTGTGCTGGGATCCAACCAATGGTGGTTTGGCATCCCAGGCTTCTGAGTCGGGTGGAAATTGTCAGGATTTCCTCTTTGATGTCTTGCCGGCTCACTTTCGAAAAGTCCCTCAGGGCTTGTACTGCTGATAGTGAGTCAGAAAGGACGAGAAGTTTTATGGGGGGCCGTTCGCAGGCTAGCTCCAGTGCTTTCAGAATCCCTACCAGCTCAGCTGAGCAGACTGCCATATCGTTAGTGAGTCGGTATTCGTGTGTGGTCTTCCAGGTCGGTATGTAAACACCGGCCCCGACTTCTCCCGTGCTGGTTTTTGAGCCGTCGGTGTATATAATCATAGTGTCAACTTCTGCGTCACGGATGTACTGTTCGACTCTCGACCTTGCATCGAGTATGTCATGGTTTCTGTCAATCACGTGGGCGAGGCTTTCGTCGGTGAACGGTGTCTTAAGCTCCCAGGTGGGGATGGTCGGGTGGTATTTCTTACCGCTGGTTATGGTGGTGGTGTCAATTTCGGATGCCGTTTTCCAGGCGGCCGGTCTCTGGAATGTTTGCATTGGGACGCTGACCTTTGACCAGGGGTATTCGTTGACAGCCAGTGCCTGGATGGCAGGGTGGCGTGGGTCAAGTGCCGCTTGGGACCAGTAGCCGTGTCTAAGTTGTTTTCTGCGTAGTTTTAGCGGTATGACGCCCAAGGCTACTTCCATGGCTTCTTGACTAGTTCCTTTCCCTGCCCCCAGGATGATTGCCATCGCCTGGTTCTGAATTGTGTCTAGTGTCTCTTTTTTGGCATCAGAAGCAGCATCGTATACGATGGAACCGTATTCAATTTTGCTTCGGATGAATGCTTTGTAAAAATTTAGTAGTGTCTTTGTGTGTGCGCCCCAGCCGGATCCTTTGATGATTCGTAGCAGGTTGTTATTGCTCTTGCATCTTGCGACAGTTTGTTCGATGTGTCGACCCCAGCTCATTTGGGAGTCGAGCAGCATTCCCAGAAATGTCGTTTGTATCTTTCTCTGTATTCTTTGACCGTCTATTTCTATGCGGGTGTCAAAGTCTTCGTACGTTCGTACTCTTTTCCAGTTGAAAATCATCTGGGTGGTCTTGGTTGGGTTGATACGAAATCCCCACTTCTCCATCCACCTTGTAACGTTGTTGGTTGCCCTCTGCAGCTGATTTCTGGCTAGCTCCAGGTTGGAATCGGAGCACCAGATGGCGCAGTCGTCGGCGTACTGTGATAACATGACGTTTTTTTCTCCTATGGCCTCCGCCAGGTCATTCACGAGGATGGAGAAGATCACCGGGGAAATCACCGAACCTTGGGGAGTGCCGTTCTCTTGCGAGTGGGTTGCCGATTTTGCGTTTCGCACTATCACTGAGTAGGTTCGGTCTTGGAGGAAACTCTTGATGTAATTGAGCGTTTTCCCCACAATTCCTACTACACTCAGTTTCCTGATGGCGGCTTCCCTCCAGCAAGTGTCAAAGGCACTGGTAAGGTCAAGAAAAATGGCGATTGTTTTCTCTCCTTTTAAGAAACCTCTCTTGACGTGATCCTCGAGTTTGATCACCTGGTCAATCGAGGATCTGTTAGCTCTGAATCCGGACTGGGTGCAGCTGTACTTGTTGTTTTTTTTTCGAGATGGAAATTGATTCTTCTAGTGACCACGGTCTCCATCAGTTTTCCTAGGTGGGAGGTCAGCGAGATAGGTCTGTATGAGTCCAGTCTCTGCGTGTCCCTTTGAGGCTTGGGTACTGGTATGACCGTGGCGTGTTTCCATTGTTGTGGGATTGTCCCTTCTGTCCATACATCGTTGAACAGCGCCGTTAGCACTTCGAGTATTTTTCTAGGGAGCATTTTGATTAGTTTGTAACTCAGAATGTCTGCCCCTGCTGCTGTGTCTTTTTTCGCCCGAAGCGCTGAGGTGACCTCGTCGATTGTGATGTCGGTGTCGAGGTAATAATCTGTGATGTCTGGTTCAGGCTTAAGTTCTCCAGTTGCAAGAAGTCGTTCTCGTCTCCCCCTCTCTGTTGGGCCGAGCATCTCTGTTGAGCTGATCTCATAGAAGAATTGTCCAAACATATCGGCCTTTTCTTTGTCTGTGATCGCCAAGCTCGGTGTCTTAATTGTGGGGATTCGAGACGACTTTTTGTTCCCTTTGATGGCCTTGATTTGGGCCCACACTCTGCTCGCAGGGGTGCTCGGATTCAGACTCTGACAGAATGTTTTCCAGTGGGCCTCTTTTGATCTCTTTATGATTCTGTTGGCCGCGTTTCTCTGGATTCTGTAGTCTTCAAGATTCGCATTGGTCTTGTTGCGTCTGTATCTCCGCAGAGCCCTTTTTCTTTCATCTGTGGCCGCCGTGCACTTCTCGTTCCACCAAGCTACAGGCGTTTTTTTTTCACTGTTGTGTGAGGTCTGACCGCTCTGTTTGCTCGGCTGCACAGGTGTGGCGGCATGTTTTTACTTGGGATGTTTCTGATGGCTGCTACCAGTATAGTGTTCGTGAGCCTTTCTGAATAGGCTGATAGGCTTTCGCCTAGGTCACGTTCTATGGTGGTTTCGGCTAGCTCTTTCTGAAACGCTTCCCAGTTGGCCTTTCTAAAGTTGAAGTTGGGTCGGAGACTGTCTTCGTTTGTGAGCGCTTGTGCGTTTAGGAACACGAAGATCGGGAGATGGTCGGAGTTGCTGTCTTCGGATATCACCCATTGGCAGCCCGTGAGTTCGGTCGTGACCATGGTGACGTCGACCACTGTGTCTCTCATCCTCCGGTTGGGGTTGATTCTGGTGAAAGAACCGTCGTTGAGGATGGCGAGTTCGTTTTCCTCAGCGAATTCCATTAGCCGGTTACCTCCACTGTTGGCTGTGAGGCTGCCCCACGCCGGATGATGGCAGTTCATGTCTGCTAGTATTATCGAGTGTGGCTGAAGTTTAGTTTTAATTTCATCAGTGTCTGCTGCCTCTAGTTTCCCAGCTGGGCAGTAGACGTTGATAAGTTTGATCTGTTTGCCTATGCCGGCGATTGTTACCGTTATGGCCTCACAGTTTTCGGTGTCAAAACATTCATGGCAAATGACTTTTATTGTGTGCGGTACGAGGATAGCCACTCCTCCACCTCGTGTGTCTTTTGTTCGGTCGTGTCTGTAGGTGATGTAACCTTGCTGCTTGAAGTGATCGG